GGGAAACACAATTGTCATCAGCATGCATCCTGCTGGTCCTTCACTCTTCCATTCCACAAGTACTTAGGGAACACCCATCTTGCGCCAGGCCTTGTTCTAGACACTGGGGACACAGCGAGCAGACAACGACCCTTGTGCTCATGGAGCTCACATTCTGGTGGGTGAGAAGAGAAAGAATGCCAGGAAGGGGGTAGGGAGTGAGCAAGGGTTTCCATTCACCTTTGAATGTGGTGTGGGGTGGGAAGGAGGGTAAGGCAAGGTCTCCATGAGAAGATCACATCTGAGAAAAGATGCCTGATTGAAGAACTCATGCGGGCATCTGGTAGAAAAGTGTTCTAAGGCAGAGGGAACAGCCAGTGCAAAGACCCTGAGGCAGAAGTGTGCTTCAGGGGTTGACGGACAGCAAGGGAGCCCATGTGGCAGGAGAGAATGAGTGAGGGGAAGAGGGAGTTGGTGGCAAGGGGGAGGCTAGATCACTTTGGCCTGGTGGGCCATGGGGAGGCCTTTGCCTTCTACTTTTAAGTAAGTGGGAGCCACGGAGGGTTCTGAGCAGAGGGACCTGTAATGATTCAGGTGTTCACAGCTGCTCCCTGGTGGCTATGGTGGGGGGAAGAGACTGGGAGCCTGGAGCTGGAGACCAGGGCCAGACTGTGCTGGTCCAGGCAGGAGATGATGGGTGGAGGTAGTCGGAGCCTGAGAGAATGTGCTAACAGGACATGGGGAGAGGGGAGTTGAGGCCACTCCAGGTTTTGGGGTATGGGTGCCTGGAAGGACAGAGATGCCTCAGTTCCTGGGCCAGGTGGGTTAGGGGCTCATGGGGGCCGGTGAGATGTTATGTCTGAGGATCCTTCTCTAGGAGGAGACACTCAGAAGGGGACACACGTCTCCAGGCCGCAGGCCTGGCTGGAGGCACACACTTTCAGTAGCAAATTATCAGTAAGAAGACTAGCATTTTCCTTCTAATAATCACAGATTTAGCAGAAAAAGAGACAGGAGATAGGAGCTGTAGGAAGGAGAGTTCAGAGTCTGGTGGGGTGGCCTGGAATGCTCCTGCCTGGGAGCACAAGACACCCCACCGAGCCAGGGAAGAGGGAGAAGGTTCTCATGTCCTGCAGACGTCCCTGTGCCCTGTGGGGCACCCAAGACAGTGAAAAACCCAATTATATTCTTCTGGCTCTGGACTCTGACTTCCTGGGGTGTAGCTCCACCAAGTATTTTTGGCACAGCTTCAGTAGCTATGGTGGTCACTGACTGCAACGCCTCCGGGTGTCCCAGAGCGAGGACCATGCCCCTGAGCCCTCTCCCCGCAGGCCCAGGGTCTTGTCCGAGCACGTACAAACTGAGCTAGGCGTACTACATTTTATTATGAGCAATGTTCGTTCCTTCCATCAGGCACTGCAGGGATGATTTTGGAAATTACGCTGGGCTGGGTTGACGGATCTTTGCATTTCATTTGCGGACAGCTGAATGGGCCCAGGAAACGTGTTAGGAGCTGACCAGGAAGTCAGTGCCTTGCTGGGCTTCTGCCTGCTGCCCACGGTAGGTTTGGGCCTCACGTCAGGCTTGAAGCTCTCTTTCCTTTTGAGAGTCTGCCGAACAGCAAGGCAGGGCTCCCCTGGGGAAGGGGCTCAGGTGCTTAAAAAGAGCCACTGGGCTGGGGGCTGGGGCCCTCCCATGGGCACCCTCAGGTAGGGACATGGTCCCATGTGGCAGATGGGGAAACTGAGGCTCAGAGGGTAAAATGACACACCTGTAGCTAGGACATGGCGAGGCAGGGCTGGACCTATATCCTCCCTCCTCCCATGATGGCGACTCAAGATGCCCCCCTGCCCCTCTGTGGTCCTGACCCAGGGCGGAGGGCAGGGGCCCTGCTCACCCGGAACCTTTTCCGCAGCATGCTGTTGAGGGCGAAGTCGTCCTTCCAGGCGCTCTGGGCCTCCTGGATGTGGCTGAGGGTGGGGAGGGCCTTCCTGAGCGTGTTCCGGTCGGCCTCACCATGCTCCAGGCGGAACATGGCATCCGTCTCCAGCTTCTGCTTCTTCTCGTGCTCTGCAAGGTGAGAGGGTAGCTGGGCCTTTGGGGCTCCAGCTTGGGTGCCAGCTTGGAGTCAGCCTGAGGGGCCCACCCACGGCACTCACCTGTCGTCAGCACCTGCTCATTGTCTGCCATGTCCCAGCGCTCCTCCTTGCGCTGGGCGCCGCTCACGATCACATAGTCGCAGTTGGCAGGGTCCGTCTGCATCTCGATGTAGTTGACGCAGAGGTGGCATTTCATCCGGAACCTGCAAGGGTTGGGGGTGGAGTCAGAACCCTGCAGCTGCCCCAGGCCCCACTGTGACCCCTGCCTGCTTCCATCCATTCACATGTGTGGCCATTCAATAGGTGTTCACTGGGCGCCTGCTCCATGTCTGGGGGTCCGGCCATGGGCGAGACCAACACAGTCCCACCACCAGAGAACAGACCTACTGTCTGGAGTTGGTTCATTCTCAACAAACCCTCCCAAGCTAGGCTGCTCTGTGGCAGGGCTGGGCACCAGCAGCTGGGGGCACAGCAGGAAAGCAAGCCAACCTGCTCTCCAAACAGCTGATGCTTCAGTGGCGGCCACGTGGGCAGCGAGGGCACAAGCAACATGAGTGTCAGGCAAGGAGCACTACTTTAGAAAAGGTCTGAGAGGTGGTGTTGGAGCAGAACCCCAACACTGGGTGTCTGGGGAAGTGTTCCCCAAGGAGGGCACCTTCCCGGGGTGTGCAAGGGGCAGTAAGGAGGCCCTGTGGCTGGAGCAGAGGGAGCCAGGGAGACAGCGGAGAGGAGGGCAGGGAGGGGCAGGGCAGAGCAGCAGGGCCTTGTGGGTCATAGGGAGGATGCAGGCTTTTACTCTGAGGAAGGTGGGAGCCATGGACGGGTCTAGGCAGAGGGATGTGCCCTGATTGACAGACCAGGATGGTTTTCCAGACACATCCTCAAGAAACTGCCATCAGGAAGAAGGTGCCAGCTGCCCTCCTGCTCACACTCCTCTGTAGCCCCCTCCCACTGCAGCCACCCTGTGCATCCCTCTGAGATCCCATCAGGCTACGTTCACCACCCCTGAGCCCTCTCCCCGCAGGCCCAGGGTCTTGTCCGAGCACGTACAAACTGAGCTAGGCGTACTACATTTTATTATGAGCAATGTTCGTTCCTTCCATCAGGCACTGCAGGGATGATTTTGGAAATTACGCTGGGCTGGGTTGACGGATCTTTGCATTTCATTTGCGGACAGCTGAATGGGCCCAGGAAACGTGTTAGGAGCTGACCAGGAAGTCAGTGCCTTGCTGGGCTTCTGCCTGCTGCCCACGGTAGGTTTGGGCCTCACGTCAGGCTTGAAGCTCTCTTTCCTTTTGAGAGTCTGCCGAACAGCAAGGCAGGGCTCCCCTGGGGAAGGGGCTCAGGTGCTTAAAAAGAGCCACTGGGCTGGGGGCTGGGGCCCTCCCATGGGCACCCTCAGGTAGGGACATGGTCCCATGTGGCAGATGGGGAAACTGAGGCTCAGAGGGTAAAATGACACACCTGTAGCTAGGACATGGCGAGGCAGGGCTGGACCTATATCCTCCCTCCTCCCATGATGGCGACTCAAGATGCCCCCCTGCCCCTCTGTGGTCCTGACCCAGGGCGGAGGGCAGGGGCCCTGCTCACCCGGAACCTTTTCCGCAGCATGCTGTTGAGGGCGAAGTCGTCCTTCCAGGCGCTCTGGGCCTCCTGGATGTGGCTGAGGGTGGGGAGGGCCTTCCTGAGCGTGTTCCGGTCGGCCTCACCATGCTCCAGGCGGAACATGGCATCCGTCTCCAGCTTCTGCTTCTTCTCGTGCTCTGCAAGGTGAGAGGGTAGCTGGGCCTTTGGGGCTCCAGCTTGGGTGCCAGCTTGGAGTCAGCCTGAGGGGCCCACCCACGGCACTCACCTGTCGTCAGCACCTGCTCATTGTCTGCCATGTCCCAGCGCTCCTCCTTGCGCTGGGCGCCGCTCACGATCACATAGTCGCAGTTGGCAGGGTCCGTCTGCATCTCGATGTAGTTGACGCAGAGGTGGCATTTCATCCGGAACCTGCAAGGGTTGGGGGTGGAGTCAGAACCCTGCAGCTGCCCCAGGCCCCACTGTGACCCCTGCCTGCTTCCATCCATTCACATGTGTGGCCATTCAATAGGTGTTCACTGGGCGCCTGCTCCATGTCTGGGGGTCCGGCCATGGGCGAGACCAACACAGTCCCACCACCAGAGAACAGACCTACTGTCTGGAGTTGGTTCATTCTCAACAAACCCTCCCAAGCTAGGCTGCTCTGTGGCAGGGCTGGGCACCAGCAGCTGGGGGCACAGCAGGAAAGCAAGCCAACCTGCTCTCCAAACAGCTGATGCTTCAGTGGCGGCCACGTGGGCAGCGAGGGCACAAGCAACATGAGTGTCAGGCAAGGAGCACTACTTTAGAAAAGGTCTGAGAGGTGGTGTTGGAGCAGAACCCCAACACTGGGTGTCTGGGGAAGTGTTCCCCAAGGAGGGCACCTTCCCGGGGTGTGCAAGGGGCAGTAAGGAGGCCCTGTGGCTGGAGCAGAGGGAGCCAGGGAGACAGCGGAGAGGAGGGCAGGGAGGGGCAGGGCAGAGCAGCAGGGCCTTGTGGGTCATAGGGAGGATGCAGGCTTTTACTCTGAGGAAGGTGGGAGCCATGGACGGGTCTAGGCAGAGGGATGTGCCCTGATTGACAGACCAGGATGGTTTTCCAGACACATCCTCAAGAAACTGCCATCAGGAAGAAGGTGCCAGCTGCCCTCCTGCTCACACTCCTCTGTAGCCCCCTCCCACTGCAGCCACCCTGTGCATCCCTCTGAGATCCCATCAGGCTACGTTCACCTGTAAATCGGAGTTGTGTAGTAATTGCCAACCTTCTTCTTTTCTGCGTTATAACGAACACCTGGAATGAGAGGGAGAGAACAGAGGCTGGTGGTCAGGCCGCGCCCAGCATCTTTTCCCTGGGCTGGGGGCGGACAGGTGGTACTCTGCTTCCCTGCAGGGGAGACGCCTCAGGACACTGAAATTCAAGGTAGGAAAGAGCTGTGCCTGGGCCACACATGTGACAGGTGCTCAAGCTACAGAGGGGAGGAGTGGGAACGGGAGGGTCCAGGTTGGAATCCTGGCTCTACTATCTACTAGTTGCATGACATTAAGCAGCTGCCTCTGTCCTCTGGGCCTCAGTTTCCCCAGCTATTGAACAGGGTGGCTATAAGGTCTACCACACAGGCTGTTGTGAGAACCACAGGAGCTGATAATACACATGCGTCCCTCAGTGCAGGGCCTGGCGCTCAGCTTTGAAGGGTTGGGTTTTTCGATTTTTTCTTTTTCTTGTTTGCTGTTAGATGATATATATAGCTTTCCTTTCCTGGGTGGTTGCTTTGGTCCAGGGCCCTGAGGGGGACCCACATGTGGTGTCAGGCTGAGCCCACTCTTTGTCTCTGGAGCACCTGGTGGCCTTTGGGGCAGACACTGGTGGCTGGGTCAGATCGGGGGAACATGTTGGGGGCTCCCTCATCCTCCTCAGCAGTGGGGTGATCCGGCCCCTTCTTCCTGTACCTCCGCAGGCCCTGTGAGGGGGGCCAGGCCCTCCTGCCAAGAGCCACCAGCTCCTGCTGACAGAGTGAGACACTGCTGGGCCAGGAACTGCAGGCAGTGCTGAGGATCTCCACATTACAGAGAAGGAAACGGAAGCTGGGAGGCTCAAGTCACAGCGTCTGTGCAGGGCCGAGGACCCATGCATGTCTGCCCTCCTCTGCACCTGCAGCACTGATGATGGTCCCAATGCTAAAGGTCACAGCACGGGCGGTGGCACTCTGGGTTTAGGAGCCCCCGCACGAGCCGTGTGCTACATGTTCCAGGCCACACAGGGGGACACTCCTACCATCTGAATTTCACAAGTGGGTAAACAGGCACACAGGGCCTCAGTCTCTCGACAAGGGTCACCCAGCTAGGGAGTGGCAGAGACAGGACTTGAATCCACAGCCAGGCCTCCTCACTGCTCTGCAAGGAGGCGTCCATAGCCTGCCAGTCACCTGGATGCCTGTCTTCTCTCCAGCTCCTCACTGGGCACCCCCTGGGTGAGTCAGCCTCTTACAGTAACAGCAGTTAAGAGGCTCCCATCTGCGGGACTGAGTGGCCGGGGTGGGGTGAGCTGGGGAGCACAGGGGCAGGCGAAGCTCACCCATGCCGATGTGGTTCTTGCAGCCGTCGCACCAGATGTTATACGGCATCTCAAACCTGCAGACAGAAAGTGGCTTATTTGCACCTGTCCACTCAGGCTCTCCCTGGTCCCCATTCCACAATGCCAGCTGCAGTCACATTGCAAAGGGCATGCGTGTGGGGAGGATAAAAGACAGTGGTCATTCCTACAGCCAGGCCCGTCCTGCCATGCTGCTCTCCCACCAGCTGACCTCAAGCTGCAGAGGGGAGGAGGTGAGAGTCACCATGGCGTGCTGCTGCCTTTCATGCCTCGCCAAGAAGCTAAATGCACCTCGGAGAAGCAGCCTTGGACTCAAGAGGCTGTGCATGCCTGCACTCATGCTCTTTTGGAGCCTGGACATGGACATGTGAACATGCTCAGGCTAGCTGGCTGGAGGACGAGAGACATGTGGAACAGCACAGTTGTACCAGCCAGTCCCCAGCCAGGTGATCCCTGGGTCACCTGAGAAAGCCCAGCCCAGCTAAGGCCACCAGGGGCATTCAGCTGAGCCAGACTGAGCAACACGTAATACCGGATTATTGTTTTGTTACATGGCAACAGCTGACTGATACAGTGACTTGCTGCTTTATGGAATGAAGACCCTGAATGCTGGGCAAAATTAGGGGGCAATGAATTCTCCTTGAGATCGATGCCAGGTGACACAAGGGGTAGGGGTCCTTAGGTGATGCCAGGGCCTTACCTGATGATGAGGATGCCCTGTGACAGCTTCCGAGCCCGCTCCCGCAGCGGGTGGCTGTTGTGGTATCGGTTAAGTGAGCCATGCTGTGGGGAAAAGATGAAGCAGCAGATTAGCACTGCTGAGCTGTGGGGCTCACGCTCTCTCTTATGAGGCCAAGAGAAGCCCCTTTCTTATGCCCTGCATGCATATTAACAACAAAACGGGAGGCACTGAGGACTTGGTGAGTGAAGCAGGTGGGGCTGGAATCAGGAATACAAGTTAGAATCTTTCCTCCCCATGAAGGAGCTGAAGCTGTGTGACCCTTGGAGGGGGGGCAGCGGTGACCTACCCTTTTGCCTTCTGAGCCTTGGTTTCTCCTGTCAAATGGGGACAATGATTGTAAAAGCCTCTGGGTATTGGGAGGATTAGGGGAAATGATGATACTGGTTGACATTTATTCAGTATTTTAATCCCTCAATGATTCTGTGGGGTCACTTTATCTCCCCCCTTTCAACAAGCAGTGGTGTAAAGAGGCTGAGTCACAGGGACCTGTGAGGAGCACCGAGCAGGGATGGACTGGCCGGTTCACAGGCCCTCACTGAGCACCTGCAGGGGGGGTACAGAGTGAACTAGATGGACGAATGTCCCTGCCGCCAGGGAGTGGATATCCGAGAGGGGCAGATAGACAGCACCCAAATAAATGGATGATACATCAGGGAGTTATAAGGGCCACGTGAGAAATAAAGCTGGGCGGTGTGATCGAGAATGAAGACAGAGGTCAAGGTGGCGCTCTGTGAGAATAGCCTCAAGGGAAGGGAAGGAACCTTGTCAAAAGGAGGAAAAGATTGCAGGCAGGAGGAATAAAGAGGAGGTCAGATGGGCTGGAGCTGGGAGAGCAAGGGGATCTGACCCACAGCCAGCGTGAGCGCCCTGATCCTGACATCTGCAGGAAACACGCCAAGCTGGGCACAGAGTGCAAGGTCACTGAGGAGAGCCATGTTTACCAGTGGGAGAAAAGGCTGCCCTGAGGCTCACATGACCAGTGTGAGGCAGCAAGACCTCGGGGGTCGTCCACCCTGCTGCAGCTGCAGCTCTGGCTCCAGTGGCCCCTGGCCTATGGGGTCTCCGCTACTGTGGGAATGGAGACACGAGCCTACCCCTTACCTTTTCGGGATTAAAATCTGGAGGGTAGTACTTGTTCACACCTTTCCTTTCACCCTAGAAAGCAAAAGAGACGTGACTCAGAGGGTCCCACAGGAGACCTGCTCATGCAGCCTGACAGGGTGGGACCTAGGTGAGAGAGGCGAGGGACACTATAGAGGAGAGCGAGGCTCCAGGTCTGAGAAAAACCCACTGTTGTCACTGTGGAAAACTCCAGGAGGGTCAGATTCCCTGAGAGCAATGGCTTTCACAGCTCTCTGGGGGACCATGGCTTACAGCAAGACGTATTTAACGCTGCAGTCGTACAAACACACACGGGATACAGCTGAAGCACAGGTTTCCTGAGAGAACCTGTACCCTGGCCGCAGGAGTCCCTCTTTTGAAATGCTGGCAGGCACCCGCTAAAGTGGCCTAATGACCCACCAAGCAGTGGGTTTCAAACTTAGCTGCAAGTTACAACGATCTGGGGAGTTTCTAAAGTACTGATGCCTTGGCTCCACCCCCAGGGGTTCTCCTGACAAGGACCTGTTCTGGATGTGGTGCTCAGACACTGAGCTCTTTTTTTTTTAATTTTGGTATAATTAATCTACAATTACATGAAGAACTAGGCTCCCCCTTCACCAAGCCCCCCCCCCACATACCCCTTCACAGTCACTGTCCATCTGTCGGACACTGAGCTTTTAAAAAGCAACCCGGAAAACGTGTTAAAAGAAATCCTTGTGCATGCGTTCCTAGCAGCACTATTCACAACAGCCAAAGTGCAGAAACCAGCCAAATGGCCATTAATGGAAGGATGACTAAACCAGGGTGGTCCATCCACACAATGGAATATTATTCAGCCATAAAAAGGAATGGAGTTCTGATTCATGCTACAACACGGATGAACCTTGAAAACACTATGTTAAGTAAAAGAAGCCAGATACAAAAAGGACACGTTTATGTGAAATGTCCAGAACAGGGAGGACACTGGTGGTTGCCAGGGGCTGGGGGTGCGGGGACATGGACTGTCAGCTAATAGAGACCCAGTCTCTTTTTGGGGTGATAGAAATGTTCTGGAACTAGACAGAGGTACTGGTGTACAACATTGTGTATGTACTGTCATTGAATTATACACTTTAAAATGGTAAATTTTGTTATGTGAATCCCACCTCATTAAAAAATTTTTTTTAAAAAGACAGAAAAAAAGGGAAAAAGCTTCCTGGGTGATTTGAGTACACATCAAAGATTGGACACCACTGCAACAAAAGATCGTTGAGTAGAGTCTGGAAACACCTTCTTAGAGCTCGAGGAGGGGTGGAGGGGACTTTCGGGAGAGGCAAGGGGCTGATTTGGTGGCTCAATAAAAACCAGAAGAGAAACCCAGTGAGCACAAACATGTCTGCTTACCATACTGGCAGATGCCTACTGGTCCTCGCCCTCAGCACAGGCAATCTGAAATGATGACACCAAATGTGTGGTGTCAACCCACTGCCCAGGCCCACCCTTCTGGGGATCCTGGCAGAGGGTGTGAGGCTTCCCTGGGAAGACGCCTGGAGCTGTATGCGGCGGCGGCGGCAGCTCTGACAGTCCTCTCTGCAGGTGTAGGAGGCATCCAGAGTGGGGTCTGTTTAGAAAGAGTGTCCTGTCCGCTCTCCATGTGTCACAGCTGACACTTCTCACCCCTCCATGGCCCCCATCCCCCTGGCCTGGACCAGTGCATTGCCTCCTTCCTGGACTTCTGGCTCTGCCCTTTACTCCCATGGTCTGTTCTACAGGGGCCAGAGGAGCTCTTAAAAATATATATCTGAAGTATATTCTCCTTCTTAAACCCCTCCAGTGATGCCCATCGCCTTGAGAATCAAGTTAAACCCCTCCCCATGGCCCATGGGGCCCCCGCCTGCCTCTTCAAGCCTATCTGTTCCCCTTCTCCTGCATGCTCGCACTGTTCCAGTCATACTGGCCTCCTGCCTGCCTTCAGGGGTACAGGCCAACTGCCTTGAAAGCCCTCACCAGCTGTCTGTTCTTCGTCAGAGGACTTGTCTGGACCACCTGGTCTAAAGTCACTTCTTCCCTGGATTTCCTATCACATCACCCTGTGTCAGTTCCCTTGTCTACAGACTGTCTGCCTGGCCAGGTCACAGTATGCTCTATGGGATAAACGCTGGTGAATGAACCGCTGCTAATTGATGGATGTTCCATAGGATCAGTGCAGGTGACACGGGTTCTCAGATGCAGGGTTCCTTACACTGGGGGGTGGGGAGGCCGCCTCCCCCTGCGTCTTGGGAGGACAAACTTCTAGGTCAACTAAAAAGCTCTATGTGACACTAAAGAGGTACACTGTGAGAGACTGAAGTGTATTCAAGAATGAGGATTGGCAAATTTTCCCCATCAAGGGCCAGAGTAAATATTTCTGGCTTTGCTGGCCAGACTCTGTCCCAATGACACAACTCTGCAGTCTCTGCAAGAAAGCAGCTGTAGCCGATATGTAAATGATGGGTGTGGCTGCATTCCATCAAAACTTTATTCATGGTCCCTGAAATCTGGATTTCACATGATTGTCATCTGTCACAAAACATTATACTCCTTTTGATTTTTTTTCCCAACCATTTAGGAGTTCAAACTATTTTTAGCTGGCAGGCTGTACAAATCAGACAGTGGCCTGGCTTTGGCCAGTGGATGTAGTTTATCAGCTACTGGGGCTACAGTAAGGAATTCTCAAATTGTTCCTACCACCTTAGCTGTGCACTCTAATGGTTACTGTGTGCCTAATGGCACTGTGCTAAGTCTGACGCCATTGCTCCTTTTACTGTTTTTTTACTGTATCTTCAGTTTATGAATGAAGACATGGGACAGGGACCTGTGAGGAGCACCGAGCAGGGATGGACTGGCCGGTTCACAGGCCCTCACTGAGCACCTGCAGGGGGGGTACAGAGTGAACTAGATGGACGAATGTCCCTGCCGCCAGGGAGTGGATATCCGAGAGGGGCAGATAGACAGCACCCAAATAAATGGATGATACATCAGGGAGTTATAAGGGCCACATGAGAAATAAAGCTGGGCGGTGTGATCGAGAATGAAGACAGAGGTCAAGGTGGCGCTCTGTGAGAATAGCCTCAAGGGAAGGGAAGGAACCTTGTCAAAAGGAGGAAAAGATTGCAGGCAGGAGGAATAAAGAGGAGGTCAGATGGGCTGGAGCTGGGAGAGCAAGGGGATCTGACCCACAGCCAGCGTGAGCGCCCTGATCCTGACATCTGCAGGAAACACGCCAAGCTGGGCACAGAGTGCAAGGTCACTGAGGAGAGCCATGTTTACCAGCGGGAGAAAAGGCTGCCCTGAGGCTCACATGACCAGTGTGAGGCAGCAAGACCTCGGGGGTCGTCCACCCTGCTGCAGCTGCAGCTCTGGCTCCAGTGGCCCCTGGCCTATGGGGTCTCCGCTACTGTGGGAATGGAGACACGAGCCTACCCCTTACCTTTTCGGGATTAAAATCTGGAGGGTAGTACTTGTTCACACCTTTCCTTTCACCCTAGAAAGCAAAAGAGACGTGACTCAGAGGGTCCCACAGGAGACCTGCTCATGCAGCCTGACAGGGTGGGACCTAGGTGAGAGAGGCGAGGGACACTATAGAGGAGAGCGAGGCTCCAGGTCTGAGAAAAACCCACTGTTGTCACTGTGGAAAACTCCAGGAGGGTCAGATTCCCTGAGAGCAATGGCTTTCACAGCTCTCTGGGGGACCATGGCTTACAGCAAGACGTATTTAACGCTGCAGTCGTACAAACACACACGGGATACAGCTGAAGCACAGGTTTCCTGAGAGAACCTGTACCCTGGCCGCAGGAGTCCCTCTTTTGAAATGCTGGCAGGCACCCGCTAAAGTGGCCTAATGACCCACCAAGCAGTGGGTTTCAAACTTAGCTGCAAGTTACAACGATCTGGGGAGTTTCTAAAGTACAGATGCCTTGGCTCCACCCCCAGGGGTTCTCCTGACAAGGACCTGTTCTGGATGTGGTGCTCAGACACTGAGCTCTTTTTTTTTTAATTTTGGTATAATTAATCTACAATTACATGAAGAACTAGGCTCCCCCTTCACCAAGCCCCCCCCCCACATACCCCTTCACAGTCACTGTCCATCTGTCGGACACTGAGCTTTTAAAAAGCAACCCGGAAAACGTGTTAAAAGAAATCCTTGTGCATGCGTTCCTAGCAGCACTATTCACAACAGCCAAAGTGCAGAAACCAGCCAAATGGCCATTAATGGAAGGATGACTAAACCAGGGTGGTCCATCCACACAATGGAATATTATTCAGCCATAAAAAGGAATGGAGTTCTGATTCATGCTACAACACGGATGAACCTTGAAAACACTATGTTAAGTAAAAGAAGCCAGATACAAAAAGGACACGTTTATGTGAAATGTCCAGAACAGGGAGGACACTGGTGGTTGCCAGGGGCTGGGGGTGTGGGGACATGGACTGTCAGCTAATAGAGACCCAGTCTCTTTTTGGGGTGATAGAAATGTTCTGGAACTAGACAGAGGTACTGGTGTACAACATTGTGTATGTACTGTCATTGAATTATACACTTTAAAATGGTAAATTTTGTTATGTGAATCCCACCTCATTAAAAAATTTTTTTTAAAAAGACAGAAAAAAAGGGAAAAAGCTTCCTGGGTGATTTGAGTACACATCAAAGATTGGACACCACTGCAACAAAAGATCGTTGAGTAGAGTCTGGAAACACCTTCTTAGAGCTCGAGGAGGGGTGGAGGGGACTTTCGGGAGAGGCAAGGGGCTGATTTGGTGGCTCAATAAAAACCAGAAGAGAAACCCAGTGAGCACAAACATGTCTGCTTACCATACTGGCAGATGCCTACTGGTCCTCGCCCTCAGCACAGGCAATCTGAAATGATGACACCAAATGTGTGGTGTCAACCCACTGCCCAGGCCCACCCTTCTGGGGATCCTGGCAGAGGGTGTGAGGCTTCCCTGGGAAGACGCCTGGAGCTGTATGCGGCGGCGGCGGCAGCTCTGACAGTCCTCTCTGCAGGTGTAGGAGGCATCCAGAGTGGGGTCTGTTTAGAAAGAGTGTCCTGTCCGCTCTCCATGTGTCACAGCTGACACTTCTCACCCCTCCATGGCCCCCATCCCCCTGGCCTGGACCAGTGCATTGCCTCCTTCCTGGACTTCTGGCTCTGCCCTTTACTCCCATGGTCTGTTCTACAGGGGCCAGAGGAGCTCTTAAAAATATATATCTGAAGTATATTCTCCTTCTTAAACCCCTCCAGTGATGCCCATCGCCTTGAGAATCAAGTTAAACCCCTCCCCATGGCCCATGGGGCCCCCGCCTGCCTCTTCAAGCCTATCTGTTCCCCTTCTCCTGCATGCTCGCACTGTTCCAGTCATACTGGCCTCCTGCCTGCCTTCAGGGGTACAGGCCAACTGCCTTGAAAGCCCTCACCAGCTGTCTGTTCTTCGTCAGAGGACTTGTCTGGACCACCTGGTCTAAAGTCACTTCTTCCCTGGATTTCCTATCACATCACCCTGTGTCAGTTCCCTTGTCTACAGACTGTCTCCCTGGCCAGGTCACAGTACGCTCTATGGGATAAACACTGGTGAATGAACCGCTGCTAATTGATGGATGTTCCATAGGATCAGTGCAGGTGACACGGGTTCTCAGATGCAGGGTTCCTTACACTGGGGGGTGGGGAGGCCGCCTCCCCCTGCGTCTTGGGAGGACAAACTTCTAGGTCAACTAAAAAGCTCTATGTGACACTAAAGAGGTACACTGTGAGAGACTGAAGTGTATTCAAGAATGAGGATTGGCAAATTTTCCCCATCAAGGGCCAGAGTAAATATTTCTGGCTTTGCTGGCCAGACTCTGTCCCAATGACACAACTCTGCAGTCTCTGCAAGAAAGCAGCTGTAGCCGATATGTAAATGATGGGTGTGGCTGCATTCCATCAAAACTTTATTCATGGTCCCTGAAATCTGGATTTCACATGATTGTCATCTGTCACAAAACATTATACTCCTTTTGATTTTTTTTCCCAACCATTTAGGAGTTCAAACTATTTTTAGCTGGCAGGCTGTACAAATCAGACAGTGGCCTGGCTTTGGCCAGTGGATGTAGTTTATCAGCTACTGGGGCTACAGTAAGGAATTCTCAAATTGTTCCTACCACCTTAGCTGTGCACTCTAATGGTTACTGTGTGCCTAATGGCACTGTGCTAAGTCTGACGCCATTGCTCCTTTTACTGTTTTTTTACTGTATCTTCAGTTTATGAATGAAGACATGGGGACTTAAGTAACTTACCCAGGGTCAGAAGCTGACCAAAAGGCAGAGCCAGGGTGCACAGCCTGGATGTAAACTATCTTGCCACCACCCTGAACTCCCTCAACCTCTGATCCTCCATATGTAAAGAGTGTCCCTGGACCAGATTTCCCAAGGCTGCTTCAGATTTAAAAATGCGTTTGCCAACAAAATAGTTAAGTGCCCACCCAGCCTTGGGGGGCATAGTTCCCCAGGCTTGAATCCCAGCTCCACTCCTCACTAGATGGGGGACCTCAGCCAGTGTCTGAGCTTCCCTGATACATATTTCTATATTTCTTCACCTGTAAAGAGTGAGGGAGGGTGACAGGACTGATTTTCTGGAGTTGCTGTGAATGACTGGGAGGTGCTTGCAGAGAGGAATTATTCCGTGTATGGGAGCTGGGTATCTTAGGATAGTTTTACCACCCCAGTGAATGACAAGGTAGGACGGTAGGGCGGATGGATGTATAAAAACCGCTGGTCCGTGGTGTCAAGAGTAATTGTAAACTCCATCGGTTCTGGGCATACTGCTTTGACTGGGATACTAACTCTGCTGCTCCTTAGCAGCTTGACTATAGGCAAATAGCTTCTCTCTCTCAGCCTCAGTTTTCTCATCTGTAAAAGAGGGTTTATAAAAGTATCAACCTGATCAGGTTGCTATCAAGATTCAGTGAGTTAAATGAAGCACTTAGAACAGCGCCTGACGCCGAGTTAAACGTTGGTAGGTAGTTTTAATCATTTCTGATGCCAAACGGTTTTACAAGCTTCATTTTACAAAATCTTCACCACGACTCAGAAAGGTAGGGGCTAACTGGTCCCATTTTCCAGATGAAGAAAACTCAAGGCTCCTTCAAGCTTGACTGGGCCTCCAGTCAGGGCTGGGGTCGCGACCAGGGCCCGGGATGTGGGTCAGGGGTCAGCAGTTGTTATTTGAGGCGGCTTCGGACACCCGGCCCAGGACTACCGAGCCTCGCGATCCCCGCACAACTTGTCTTCGTTAGGAAGCTCCGAGGTCGTGTGAAGAAGCCGCCGTACCACCGACCCTACCCCGGCCGCCCCTCAGCCTGCCCCCACTTACCTGCCCTCCTTCAGACGTTACGCCACGCCTGTGCCCGGAAGTAAGCGCTGGGCGCGCAGGGAGGCGTGGCGCACTCGCCGGCGCGAGGCGGGGCGAAGCAGCGGCGCTGTACTGATTGGTTTAGTGTCCGAAAACGCGAAGCGTTCTTTGTCGTGGAGTGGGCCAATCTGGGCCTGCCCTTCCCAAGCGCGCCGATCTCATGATGCCCCACCCTCTTCCCCGCCCACTTTCCCCGGCCCATTCCGAGGCCCGCCTTTCTGGGAGCGCCGGCTCGCTAAACCTTAGGCCGAGAGTCTGCAAACTGCGGCTAGCGGGCTAAATCAGACAAGCTTCGTGCTTTGGACCGGCTAGAGAACTAAGATTTATTTTTCCATTTGTAAATGTTTGGAAGGAAAAATCAAAAGACTAACATCTGATGGCTTGTGAAAATAATATGAAGTTCAAATTTTAATGCGCATAAATAAAATTGCATCGGAGTACCGCCATGCCCATTCATTTACCTATTTGCCTGTGGCTACTTTCCCACTACACTATCAGAGCTGAATAGTTGCAACAGAACATTTAGAGCACAAAACCTAGAAAATTTACTATCGGGGTCTTTACAGAAGAAGCGTGCAAGTCTTTGCCTTAGATCTTTCAGACCAGCCTGGATGTGCCTCTGCACAGGGAAGCGGCTTTTGAATTTTATTATATACCTTGTAAGGCCTAACAGAATCCCACCAGTTTGTTCATTTGGTCATTCAACAGCCTTTTATTAGGTGCCTGCTGTATGCCAGGCTATGGAGATTCAGAGAGCAAAGATTTGCTGAGGCAGACAGTTCAAATGGCAACTTATCAATGACAGTATGAGAAGTGATGACCGTTCTGTATCATTTGGTGCCAGGCCCTGTTCCAAAGCCCTAGCAAATCGTTTCTCATGCACATGGTGTTACCTACTGAGCACTCTTAATTCACCAGATATCATTCACCAGTGTGCACTACACACTTACACATATCACCTCAGGGAATGCTGCTTCTAGGGGACGAGTATCCTTTCTACAGATGAAGAGACAGGCCCAGAGAGGTTAAGTAACTGGCCTGAGGTCACACAGCTAGTGCGGGGGTGGAAGATTTGACTTCCATCTGCTGATACTAAACCTTGTTCCATTAACTTCTGAGCTATACTGCTTTGGGTTGTATGCGTTAAACATGAGGATTATAAGAACCCAGAGGCATCTTTAAAATCAGACAAGCTTCGTGCTTTGGACCGGCTAGAGAACTAAGATTTATTTTTCCATTTGTAAATGTTTGGAAGGAAAAATCAAAAGACTAACATCTGATGGCTTGTGAAAATAATATGAAGTTCAAATTTTAATGCGCATAAATAAAATTGCATCGGAGTACCGCCATGCCCATTCATTTACCTATTTGCCTGTGGCTACTTTCCCACTACACTATCAGAGCTGAATAGTTGCAACAGAACATTTAGAGCACAAAACCTAGAAAATTTACTATCGGGGTCTTTACAGAAGAAGCGTGCAAGTCTTTGCCTTAGATCTTTCAGACCAGCCTGGATGTGCCTCTGCACAGGGAAGCGGCTTTTGAATTTTATTATATACCTTGTAAGGCCTAACAGAATCCCACCAGTTTGTTCATTTGGTCATTCAACAGCCTTTTATTAGGTGCCTGCTGTATGCCAGGCTATGGAGATTCAGAGAGCAAAGATTTGCTGAGGCAGACAGTTCAAATGGCAACTTATCAATGACAGTATGAGAAGTGATGACCGTTCTGTATCATTTGGTGCCAGGCCCTGTTCCAAAGCCCTAGCAAATCGTTTCTCATGCACATGGTGTTACCTACTGAGCACTCTTAATTCACCAGATATCATTCACCAGTGTGCACTACACACTTACACATATCACCTCAGGGAATGCTGCTTCTAGGGGACGAGTATCCTTTCTACAGATGAAGAGACAGGCCCAGAGAGGTTAAGTAACTGGCCTGAGGTCACACAGCTAGTGCGGGGGTGGAAGATTTGACTTCCATCTGCTGATACTAAACCTTGTTCCATTAACTTCTGAGCTATACTGCTTTGGGTTGTATGCGTTAAACATGAGGATTATAAGAACCCAGAGGCATCTTTACTGAGGGTGGGTATTTGGGAGTGGCCAGGAGTGAGGCTATAAAGGGTGACCTGGGGGCTGATTGAGGAGGAATTAACACCTGTAATCTTGCTTGCTACATGTGGATTTTGCCTGAGTCCTCGTCCTGCACCTGAAGGAAGAAAGTGACTGAGAAGCCACAAAATGCCGCCTTATGATTACTATTTAGGGGAGGAGAGGTCTGACCCTTGGCTTTCAAAGGACATGTAGAACCTATTACATACTGGGCAGGAAGTGGGATCCACACATCAGCCTGAGAGATGAAGAGACTGTTCTGTAAAGATGTCAAGTGCAGGTCAGTTCCTGGGGGGCCAAGGGAACCGACTTAGGGAGAGGAGGGCAATTAGCTAGTCTGGGCAGGGTGGCAGGAAGCGATATAGATTCTAGTTCTGGGGACCCTGAGCAAGTCACCTCATCTCTGTTTCTCCTTAAAGTGAGATATCTCTGCTCTGCCCATGGGAACAGATGCAAGAAATGCCTACAAATGTATTTGTAAAATATCTGAATAAGAAAAGAGAAACCAGTGGGCTGGGAAGGGTATTCCAGCATCATGGTGCAACTTTTGGGGACAAGAGCAGAATGGCTGAAGGGAAGGCGGGCTCTAAGCATCAGGAAGTTCTTTACATAAAGCCAAAACCCGCTTTCCTGCTATTGGTACCCACTGACCCTGTTTCTGACTTAAAGGGCCACAGAGGACTAACCCCCCTTCCATATGCCAGCCCTTCAGTTCCCCGGTATCTCTAAGAGTCTGTGATTTGAGCCAGCTCCATCTGGCTTCATCCCACCAATCACCACGCAGAGCTCAGAAAGCAGGCCCACCGATTAGACATTTTGTATTTGATCTGTGACTGTGATAAAAAACATTTGGGGTGTCTGCCCAGCCCCTATGCCTCCCTTGGTATGAGAACATCCAACCACCAGAGGGCGCTGCAGCATTTGTGCTTAGCAGCCCCATCCCCTGGCCATGGCTGATTGGGTCAGGAGAATAGACTGAACCCAGGGTGGGCCGGTCGGGATTGCTCCTGCAAATTTGGAATTGGGATCCCAAAACGCACAGGAATCTGCTTGCAGCCTGGCCTGAGAACATGGAACTTTGGAGCTTAGTGGGAAATCATTAGCCATATTCAGAGGAAAGCTGAGATAAGTAACCATGTGCTGAGAGAGAGAGAAGGAGGGACAGAAGGAGGCTGTATGAATTAATTGGTGTTTATGGAAGTCTAAATGAGAAGAGAAGTACTTTTAACTTGGGGTCTTCTGCATTGAGGACGCCACTGGTTGAGCCCCTACATCAGTTCATGATAGTAAACATTGTAGGAGAAATGGCCACAAAGAACTGTGTCCAGGATATCACTCTTAAGATCATGATTAAGACAAATTAAAATCTTAAAATAAATTTGGAGTTAGGCTTGATACAACTGTTATACACAGACAGTTAAAAGGAATGGAATGGAGCGCCCTATCTGTAGCACCCTAGCCAAATACACATCTTTACTACAGATGGTTCTTCTCCTTAAGAAGTGTGTTGTCCAAAAGAAATGAGTCCCATGGACAGTTTTCAAGAGGAAGTCTCTCCCTTTGTTGCTTCTGAGACGGATTCTAACCAAACACGGAGATGCTAACAGAAATTGGATCCTTTGGGGAGAAAAGCCTCAGCACAAAGTTTGCTTGTGAAGTTCCATTTCCAGATGACATTTCTTCACCATGTCCACCTGTTCTGACTCACCTTCCTAAGGTGATTATGAGACACGGACCGTGGGTGTAGTCAGAGTAGGGTGAGGGCCTCCGGAAAAAGCAAGGCAAGATATTTGAAGTCAGAGCAATGTAACTACATACAAGGAAACCCCCTACTAAAATTCTGTGTTAAACATTCAGCTCTAGAGTCATTCTTCAGTGAGATCAGTTAATATTCCCCAGATAAAGAAGAGTAGCACATGTTTTTATTATGCCAATCATTTATAATCATGTGTAAGATCACCTTAGCATACTAAAAGGCCCAGGCCTATGTGCTGTCTTTCCTCCTTCAGATCTGATGAAGTGATTTTGCAAACTGGGCAACTAATTTAGCAAGTAAGCCCAGGCATAAACAACATAGTAAAAGGCAAGAAAGATTCCACCTTAAAGATAAGACTGTATTTTAATGCCCAAGAAGTTAAGAAGTTAGAAATTCTTAACTTACTCTTTAGCAAAAAATACCTCAGCCCACCTTGGGGGCTGGGCAGGTGGCCTTGTTTCTGTGCTCCCAGACCAAGATGCTGGTATCTCAGGGAGAAATCATCAGAGCAGGAAGTTGCTTGTGTTAATTCAATTCTAAATACTCTGGGACCACTTAACAAGTCCACACCTCTAAGCTTTTTTTCTTGTTCTCAAAAATTCTCAACTGCCTATAAAGCCCCTAGACAACGCACTACCCCAGATTCTTGTCCCCTCCTGTCATGAGCCAGGATCTCTGTCCTCTCACTTTATCTCTAAATAAAATCCTGTACCTGACTCTCCTACCTTGAGTGTTTGTGAAGCTCATTCTTCGGCTTCATGAACAAGAACCCTGGCATCAGTTATTTGCAAACAGTGGACCACCAGCATACAGAGAACAAGCTTCTGGGATAAGACCAGGATGCAGTGCAGCACAGGTGGACAGAGGAATCAGGTTTAGGGATCACAGAACTGCCCCCACCCTATGTAATAAATTCCCTCTCCTGCCACCAGGAACATGTCCACTGGCCTCCTGAAAGGCACTGCTCACACAGACCCGACCCAGATGAGAGAGGAGGTATTTGGTAAGATGAGTGAATTGATGTAAGCAACAGAAAAATGTTTGAAATGAAGGGGGGAGAGGGGAAAGTCTAGCACACCAATAGTTTCCAGAGCATTGGGGCATGGTTGTAAACCTCAGGCAAAATATTTAGATTGATCTTATTACCTACTCCAATATACCAGGCACTCTTTGTTCAGTATGTATTCACTCTACACATACTTATTGAGTACTATGAGGTGTCTAGTATCTTTCTAAGCAAGGAGATGCAGCAATAAACAGAACAGGAAGTCTTCACTCTCCTGAGCTAGTGGGTTCAGGTTGTTCATCCTGGGCAGACCATTCCCTATAAGCAGGATCCTGATTCCTTCAAATTCCTGATCTTTGAGGGTAGGACGCAGAATTTTCTGACCTGTTACCCCAACCTGGCAACTGCAGGATACATGCAAAGGCAGGTGGGTGCTTAAAAGAATTAATAAAAGAGATGATCTCTGGCTCTGTGTAGCCAGGCCAGAACAATTTACTTGGATGCTTGGGACATTCCTATAATTTAAACACCACATCACAGAGCATTTTAAAAGGCCACTTTTTAATTTTATTTTTCCTCACACAAACACCAGGGAGTCTTGTGCTTAAACACCATAATTTACCACAAACGAGCCCCTATCATGGCTGCAATTTACTTGTTAGAATCAGGAATAATAGTGAGTTTGAGTAGTAACAACAGCCTGGAGGAACGGACTCTGAAAGATGTGTTTAAGAGACCAGGTTGCGCGAAGTCACGAAGGACACTCATTTGGAGGTGAAATGAAGGGGGCACCCCTCTGAAGCTGGGCAGCTTTAATAACTTCAAGGGGCCAGGGGAGGGATGGTGTCAGAACCCGAGTATCTCCAGGTCCATAGAAATCATCTCACCATCTTCATCTGAAAGGGAAAAACGAGTCCAGGCAGGTTACATGACAAGGCCATAGTACTTCGAATGCAGAACTGGGGACAGAACCCAGGACTCCAGATCCTTGATCAATGCCTGTTTCACTCAGTTGAACTGTCTGCGACAATCATCTGTTGTTTCATATAATACCATCAGGTCAACCGTTTCCAGAAATCTGTTTTAAGAATCTCCACAGGGATAGAATTAATATTGTACATACGTTGTTGTTGGGGCATTGACCAATGGTTAAAGAATTTAAAACCTATTTAGTGAGAACTAACAGATTTATCTGTCTTTCACTTTTTGGCTGTGGTCGGCGGTTCTCCTCTGGGGCCACATTGCTCCTCCCAGAGGACATTTGGCAATGTCTGGAGATGTTTATGGTTGTGCTATCGTGACAGTGTTCGTGGCACCTAGGGAGCGGAGCTGGCTATGTCACTAGACATAAAGATCTTAACTTAAACAGCTTAACAACTGCAAAGAATGATCTGGGTCCCGAGTGCCAGTAGTGCAGATGTTGAGAAACTCCCAAAAATGGGGGCTCAGACTGGAAGCTGGTGGGCTGTCTTGATCACAGGAGAGATGCCAAGTGGGTTGAAGAATCTGCCAGCAAAGGTATTATTTCAAAAAGTAAGCTTTTTTGGGCTCCTAAATCCAACACTTTTTGCCCATCCGGTTTATAGTCTGGATGGTGTCTGGGGCATTCTGGGCTGTTTCTTGTTCTCACTTCTCCCCACCCTGCCAATGCAAACAGGCTTACTCCGTTGTAGGGAAATCCAATCTGGGGCAATCTCCCTGTGCGCTAGGTGAGACCTCGACTGGCAGAGGGTTCTTGACTCTGACCCAGAAAGAATTCCCTAGCAGGTCGAGCAGGCACAAGCAAAGAGTAGTCTAAAAAGCAAAAGGACACAGTCACTGGCGGAGCTCTGGCGCTGAGCGTTGGAGAAGTGAGCAGCCAAAGTAGTTTAGTAAAGCAAAATACACCCTGGAGGAGGGAGTGCGTGGGCTCCTGAGATGAGCAGCAGTGTGCGGTTCCGGCTGGATGGCCTTACAGCTGGCGTTTAAGGCAGGGGGTGGAATATTCACCCATATAGGTGGGGTTTTCTCCGAAGAAGGAGGGGATTTCAGGGAAATACGGTGCCGCCCTCTTTTTGTCTTTACATGTCCCCCTCAAAACTGTCAGGGCACCAAGGGGTGCGATTTTTTTAGCATGCTATGAGCATATAATGAATTTTGAGGTGAAGTCAGGATCAACTTCTCCGTTATGTGGGAACCAGCCAATTTTGACCTATAATCTATATTCTTACGCCCCATGTCCTGGGAGAACAGTAATCAACAGCCAAAGTCCCCCTCTCCCTCCCTGCTCATTTCTGGCTCTTTACCTACTATAACAACTCTACCCCCAGATTCCCCAGGGGTGCGCATCTTTCCCTCCTACCTGGCTAGGCACTAATCCAGCCCCTTGGTGGAGGTCACTTTCCTTTTCAGGGACTCAGTGTCCTTCTCGGGGACCATACGAATCCCCGCCTCCTCAGGCTGCTGAGGGGGACCCTTCACCCCACCGGCTCCCACCACTCAGTCTTCCCGAGTGCTCCCCAGGAAGCTCACACTGTTCCTAGTTTCCTGAAACTTTTTCAGCCTCTAGGATAGAAACTGTGCAAATGGGAAAACTGAGGTTGGGAGGTGGGGGTGGGCTCCAGAGAACTACATCAGGTCACACAGCTTTGAAGGAAGGGGCTGGCCTGCAAGACGCGGAATCTTCTCCAAAGCTCCCCAAAAAGGCGCTTAGCACCAAGGAAGCGCCCAGACGAGTTTCGCGTCCCTCCTGGGCCTCTCCGATTTCGCTCTTCGGCTCCGCAAGTCTCTCGGAGGAAACCCGGGTACAGGCGTGGAGCTCGGGCATCTGCTGCTCGCAGCTGTCCCGGGCGCGCGGGGGTTTATGGGAGGCTGGTTGCACGCACCAGGAGCGGCCCTGACGCCAGCGTGGTTGTCATGGCAACCGGGGCGGGACAGGGCGAGAGCGTGGCCCCCAGCCTTATTTGTTTCGTGTTGGTTTTTTTGTCTCAACTCGGGACAGGTTCTCGAAGTTGTTCTTTGTTGTCCCTTGTTCCTTCACAGTTGGGCAGCAGCTGATTTCCTGTCCCCGGGAGCATGTACAGTTAATTAAATGACAACCCTGGGCGGTCGGATTCCCGGCCACAATCAGGTGCGTGTGGAGATTCACGATTAGGTGACGTGGGGTCTGGTCTCCCCGTGTCAATCCGGCTCACGTACACGTGTCGGGTTTTTTTCTTTTCCTATTTTGCTTTTGAGGACTCTGTAATTTATTAACGGCATCTATAATTTATCTCACTTTACCGGCCAGACCTTGTTTAGACCAAATCACGAATCTGAATTTTGCAGAAATGACTCACTGGTGAGTAATTTCATAAGGAAAGCATCATTCTCTACAAAGAGGTTCACAGCAGGATTTCTTTAAATAGAAAACTTCCTCAGTGCACTGAAAATAATTCATATGATATCGGATTTGTTTGGGTACAAGATTCCTTCCCCTGCGTTTTGTCCATAGATGTATGTAAGTCACTGTGTATATCTGTGCAGGGTGTGCCTGAGGATGGGAATGGGGCTGAAATCCAGTCTAGGCTGCGTTCCCCAAGTTGAAGAACACCGCACCTTCTGATTTATCTATTAGTGTGGGTGTCTTTTTCTGCTTGCATGAAATTTCTGTGTCAGCCACCTTCCCACACGTAATAATTTTACAGGAACCAGTCACGTGGCTTTGGGCTTTATGGAATGTTTATATCAAGCTTTCATAGTATGTCGTTCCATTTCGTTCATGCCACAGACTTTGTGTGGACCCAAGTCTTTGAGTAAAATTAAACATGCTGCAAACAAGGTCACATAGGATTGGATATTCCTTCTTTTTCTCTATTCCATTAGGTCTTCCAGGAACCCAGATTGATTCCATCTTCTTGCTCAAACCAACTTGAGGAACATTCTGCAAACTATGGGACCAGTACTCTTACAAAGTGCCAGGCTCATGAGAGGTAAGGAGAGACCAAGTAACTGGCGTAGATGGGAAGAGGTTAAAGAGATGTGATGATTAATTACAATGAGGGTTCCTGAACCAGAAAAAATATTAGTGGAAAAAGTAGTGGTATTGATAAAAGTCTATAGTTCAGTTATTAGTATTGTACCAGTGTTAATTTCTTAGTTTTGAAAATGTGCCATCGTTAAATAAGATCCTAGTATTAGGGGAAGCTGAGTGAAGGGTAAATGGGAGTTACTGTCTGCAATTCTGAAAATTCAAAGTTGTATCAAAAAAGAACGTTTTTAAAAAGTGATACGCAAGTTTGAATTTTTTCAATTATCGCCTTTTGTGTGGCAAAGATGGCAGTTGTCTTCCAAAATGTGTTTTCTTTTGTTTCCGTAACAGTAGTGTTCTTGCCACTTACCTGGTGACCAGCAAGAGGCCACCTTCCTCAGCCTGCACGGCAGAGGTATAGCCAGAGAAGCCTTCTCTCCAATGCCAGGCGAGCAGGGACCAGGTGGGGCGTGCTGGGTGTGGTGGGCCTTAGGACATCAGGTGTAGGGCTCCCCTCTGCTCTTTCTCCCTTTCCTGGAGCTGGAATATGGATATTCCTCCAACCCAGCATCAGTACTGCAGTGGGGACAGTGTCCTAGGTGATGGATGTTATGAGTTGTGTGGTACCCCTCAAAAAGGTATGTTGATCTTAGGAGTGTATATCAATAATACCTTTATAAAAAAAAAAGATATATTGATGTCCTAATCCCCTGTACCTGTGACTGTGAATGTGAAACTGGGATACAATAAAAAATACATATATATATATGTATATTTGGTCTCTGTTTCTGGTTCCTGGCACAAAGATCCTAAAATGCTCATAATTTTCTGAGTAATAAGGGTGATAAGAGCATCTTTAGTTATAATATTTGGCCTTAATCCCTGGTTCCTAACACAAGAGCCTCTAAGACCCTGGAATCTCCAGAGTGATGAGGGTCTTTCGTCTGCTAATGAGATGACTGGTGGTGGGTGGGGGCAGTAGATAGCCTCAGAATTGGGTCTGGTCTCCAGAAAGACTGAGCCATGATTAAAAGGTTGGAAATTTCAGCTCCAACTTCTTGATCTCTGGGGAAGGGGAGAGGATGGAGATTGAGTCAATCACCAATGATTAGCCAATGATTTAATAAATTATGCTCACATAATGAAACCTCCATAACCCCCTCCCAAATTATGAGGTTTGGGGAGTGCAGGTAAAATTGTCATATTTCCAGAATCTCTCGCCCAGCCTTAGTGCATCTCCATATCAATAGGTGTTTCCAAGGGATGGAGAGAACTAGTCCATCTCCATATCAATAGGTAATTACAAGGGGGAGCAGGGCATATCTGGACCAGAGAGGTTGGGTGAGGCCCCTTTTTGCAGCCAGGTTGTGAAAGACCAGGCGAGCAGAAGTGGACAACTGCTTGTAAGCAATAAATGGGTTTCTCCCACTTTGTTTCTCCTTTTGACTGATTTCAGTTTCAAAGGTATTTTGCACTGGGCTGGGAAAATATTTTGCCCCTGGAGTTGGAGAGAGAGCTTCTTGGCTGGTGAACATGCCAGGGGGGTGGCACACCCTAACTCCACGGGACAGAAGCTCCTGCCCTCAGGACCCTTTCCAGTTTCAACCCATGTATCTTTTTATCTGTATCCTTTATAATAAAGGATATAGTAACAGTAACTGAACTATTCTCTGTGAGTTATGTGAGCTGTTCTGGCAAATTATGGAACCCAAGAAGGGGATCATAGGGACCCCTAATTTATAAACCATTAGAAGTATGGGATGCTCGGAACTTGTGATTGGCCTCTGAAGTTGGGAACAGTCTTATACTGAGTCCTTAACCTGTGGGGTCTGACTTGAACTCTAGGCAGGAACTGAATCACTGGACACCCAGTTGGTGTCCAGAGAGTTGGAAAATGGATTGTCGGTGTGGAAAACATCCATACATTTGGTGTCAAAAGTGTTGTGACTAAAAACATCTCAGCAATGACCTTATTTGGAAGTAAAGTCTTTGCAGTTATCAAGTTAAGATGAGGTCATGAAGGGGAGCTCTAATCCTGTAAGACTAGTGTCCTTGTAGGAAGAGGACAATATAGAGAAAGACACACGGATGATGGCCCTGTGAAGATGTAGGCAGAGATTGAAGTGATATTGTCACAAGCCAAAGAACACCTAGGGTAACCAGAAACTGGAAGAGACAAGGAAGGATCCCCCTTAGGGCCTTCAAAGGTTGCATGGCCCACATATTGATTCCAGACTCTTGGTCACCAGAACTGTGAGACAGTAAATTCCTGATGTTTTAAACCAGCCACTTTATGGCACTTTGTTACTGCAGCTCTAGGAAATGGATATGAATAGCAGAGCGAGGAAATGGAATGAAACTGGGGCTTAAGAGGTCAAACAGAGAAGAGCTGCTCTGCACAGCCTGGACCACTTACCTGAGGACAGTTACCTGGGAAAGAGTCATTCTTCTATTGCTGGGCAGCTGCATCTCAGGAGGTTCCTCCCTGCACACCAGGTGAAGCACTAGGGGTGACCTCAACCTGGATGGCGGAGCGTTCTTGACTCTGAGTGAGAAAGACATTTTGAGAAGGTTGGATGAGTGTAGGTAAGGAAGGAATTCCTTCAAGTGAGACTAGTGGGGAATGGCAGCTGCCTTCAGGGAGCAGAGAGCAAGGAAGAGCAGAGGGAGGAAAGGTGTGTGATTAATATAGAAATCAGATGTATAATTATATATGACTTGATTAGTTTTCATGTAATTCCTGAAAAGTGATCAGGAACAGAACAAACAAGACCAAAACAGTTTCTGTGAACTAATTGCCCTTGCTATTGTTTCAATACCTTGTAAGACGTGGCGCCCCAGGAAACTGCAGACTGCCAAGGATTAAGTTTAGAGTTGGTTAATGGTTGTCCTGTAAGTCCCCCCCACCCCCCACCCCGCACAGAATTCTATTGTGACCGCGCTCACACGGTGTTGGTGTCCTGAGCTGCAGGCCCTAGGGCTGGACTCAGGGTCAGATAATGACTGTGTGTTGATCTTGTGTTGAACCCCCTCCTCAGAATTCTTTGGATGTTTGGGTTCATTTGCTCAATAAATATGAGGAGTGCCTTCTCGGCATTACTCTTGCGCTGTTCCGCCTTGAGCCCCCTGGCTGGCCCTTTCAGGTCTTCGATGTCTCATCGCGTCTCCTCCCTTGTCTGTGGGTCAGAGGCAGGGAGGGACCGACAAAAGGGAAGCTCATTGAACTCCTGTTCGGCATGGGGCGAATCCCTTGCCAATTCCTGAAGCCAGGGTCACCTGGAGTCCAGTGTCCGCTTAAATCTGCATGGTGTGGGAACTAAGCCCCTACCACCCCAGGATTTGGGGGAGCTGCAGAGCATTGGATAGACTGAGATTATGTTCTGAAAACTTCCCAAAGGCAAAGGAGATTTTCAGGCAGGCTAACTAAAGAGCAGGATAGCACAGCTGCAGTCCTGTCAGGATCACCCAGGCAGTGGGAACTTGCAGGCCCAAATCAGCAGAAGTCTCAGTAGCCCTTGCTTACTTACCTGAAGTAGGACAGAGAGATTGAAGACTTGTGTTTAGGTATAGAAAACCGAATGAGATAGTGAGGTAACAGAGGCACCCCTGGATGAGTGCAGAGATGAGATGCAATCATTTAAGCAGTGAGAAGTCTTTTTGCCTTAGATAAAAAGTATACACTCAAAGAAAGGGGAGTGCAGGCAACCTCAGAGACGAGGCACTCTTAAAGGGCTTAGAACTCTGTCTTTTTGACATTCTTTTTATTTTTAATTTTGGTATCATTAATATATAATCACATGAGCAACATTGTAGTTACTAGATTCCCCCCATTATCAAGTCCCCCCCACATACCCATTACAGTCACTGTCCATCAGCATAGTAAAATGCTATAGAGTTACTACTTGTCTTCTCTGTGCTATACTGCCTTCCCTGTGCGCCCCCCCATGTTATGTGTACTACTAATCTTAATGCCCCTTGTCCCTCCCTTCCCACCCATCCTCCCCAGTCCCTTTCCCTTTGGTAACTGTTAGTCCATCCTTGGGTTTGGTGAGTCTGCTGCTGTTTTGTTCCTTCAGTTTTTTCTTTTTTGTTATACTCCACAGATGAGTGACATCATTCGATACTTCTCTTTCTCCGCCTGGCTTATTTCACTGAGCATAATACCCTCTAGCTCCATCCATGTTGTTGCAAATGGTAGGGTTTGTTTTCTTCTTATGGCTGAATAATATTCCATTGCATATATGTACCACTTCTTTATCCATTCATCTGCTAATGGACACTTAGCTTGCTTCCATTTCTTGGCTATTGTAAATAGTGCTGTGATAAACATGGGGTACACCTGTCTTTTTCAAACTGGGCTGCTGCATTCTTAGGGTAAATTCCTAGGAGTGGAATTCCTGGGTCAAATGGTATTTCTATTTTGAGTTTTTTGAGGAACCTCTATACTGCTTTCCACAATGGTTGAACTAACTTACATTCCCACCAGCAGTGTAGGAGGGTTCCCCTTTCTCCACATCCTCGCCAGCATTTATTGTCCCTAGTCCTATGTTCTTTTTGGGTGAGAAAGTTCATAGACAAAGTAGCTGTGTTGTGTGGAGTGTGCGAAGGGGCCAGGGCCGTGGGAAAGAAGGAGCAGGGTGAGGGAGACATTTGAAGAGGGCCTTGTGGGGCGGGGGACACAGAGAGGTTGGGATGGGGGAGTGACGGAGGCAGAGGGAGCAGCTAGCACAAACACTCTAGCAACCGCTGCAGCACAGACGTTTCTGAGGAATTGTATGAAGCTGCTGTGGACTGGCTGTTTGACATTTAGGGCTTACTGTGGAGTACTTACGGGATGGTAGTTAGGCTTCCAAAATTTTCAATTTGGGGTGCCAATTGAAGAATTGATTGCTAAAATGATAACGTGTCTGGGATTTTGTTTAAAACATAAAAAGACCCCTTTGTATGTTGGAGACACGGCCAGGAGGCCAGCATGGCTGGGACAGGGCACTGGGTGGGGTGCCGGGACCAGGAAAGGACAGGGCTTTGCTCTAAGCAGACCTGGGGCCACCAGAGCATTTCTGATTGAGGAATGCTAGCAGGGGTGCTGTTCACAGGCGTCTGTCCTAGCTGGGAGGATGGTGTGGGCAGTGGAGACAATGAGCAGGGGATGGAACCCAGATGTGTTTGATGGCAGAGTTACCACGATTTCCTGATGGGATTGGGGAGTGGTAGTCCCATCAAGAGGGTAACCCCAGATTTTAATCTGAGCAGCAGGAAGACTGGATTTGCCACGAGCTAACATGGGAAAGCCACGGTGGAGCGTGAAAGCCTGCATTTCCCCTAAAACTTCTTACACAGTGCGTTCTACCCCGTTATGTCCTGTGTGTGTTTTGGTAACATTGCGAAGATGACCTTGTTCCTTGCAGGGTTAACCCCTCAGGGAAATGTTGTCTAACAAAGTAGGATACTTGGATCTTTGTAGAAAATCAGTTATCTGCATGTGCAAGCGTGTATATTTTCTTCCATCTCTTGTCTGTACACTCACATCAAACTGTCTTAGTCACTGTAGCTTTTGGGAAAGTCTCGAAATCAGATGTAGGGTAAGCCTTCCAAATTTGTTCCTGTTTTTCAGTGTTTTCACGATTCTAGATCCTTTGCATTTCCATGTAAATTGTAGAGTCAGATTGTTTTTCCTACAAAAAGGCATGCTGGGACTTAGTTATTGGGATTGCTTTGAATCT